CTATGCTTTCAATGATATTATCGTAAAGGAAGCGAATGCCACCGATTTGGTGCGGGTGTATGGCATCCGATAACTTTCTGGTTAGATATATGTCTGGATCTTCGGGCGGGTGGCGGACATTGACCAGCACTCGACCGTCCGCTTCGGCTGTATTGAGCCGGTCGTCGGTGTGGAGACCAAAGTCGGCAAAGTCTTGTCCGGCGGTGTCTCTCAGCGATCGCTTAATAACGGGTCGTGTTTTGTGGTTATTGTCGTCCTCATCAGTGCTATCATTGATATCTATCACTTGCGGTGATGTCTGCGGCGAAACCACTTCAAAAACGTCATCATCAGACAGATCCGCATATCTTTGGCGACAATTAAAACACAAAAATCATTTCAATTTCTAATTGTAATCAAAATGGGAACAGACCTCTGGTTCAGCCGTCGTTTGCGCTCCTCTTCGGCGCGAATGGCGTTCTGTGTCTCGACTCTAAGGTCTGTCACTTCGGGAATCGCTTCAATCTCTTGCCTTTCATACGCTTTCGGTTTGGCTTTAGTCACCGGCGTTGACGTGACATTAGAGCGCTCGCCATTGGCTACTAAGTCATCAATTGATAATACATCCGACAACTCTTCATCGCTGGACAACAAACCACTCAAATCAATGGTTTTGTTTGCGTCCGATCCGTTGCCTCCAGAAACGTCCACCTCTTCAGTGTCTGTGTCGTCGTCTGTGAATACATCGCTGCCGTCATCGGTGGCCACCACTAGACGCTCGACGCCGTCTACTAAATCCTTTATCACTTGCTTTGATGTCATTGTATTAATGGTAAGATTGGGTTCAATGAGAGGCGATGTGAATGAAGTGCTGATCAGAGGCTCTGCGCTGGCGTTGGTGTTGAGCACCACGTGATGGTCAGCGCTTGATGTGTCGCCCACGAGATCCGATTCAGTTGTGAGACAGAGATCTATAGTCTCATCAATGAATCTTTGATTGAGTGATTGATTCATCACTCGATGACGAGTCTGTGATAAGAGGCTGTTATTGTTGTCGTCATTGAGATCGTTATCACCGACACTACTGTCTTCGCTATCACTCAATAGTCTCAATGATTTGATGCGAGGCCTAACACGTGGCCGGATGTCGTCATCCGAGTCATCAAACGGATTCATTTCTTGAGTCAAACAAAAAAGTATTTTTCATTTGAGATAAAAGTTTGGGAAAAGTTTTGACTTACGTTTAAGACTAAGATTTGACTCAATCGCTGATGAATTGGTTTGAGTGATGAATAGTTTGTATCAATAGATAATCCGTTAATCAGTTTATAAATTATAATCCGTTGCAAACCAAACTGACATTTGACCTAAACTCAAATTTTCAGTTAACGTTAACTTTACATAAAAATTTGCCAAAAAGGATTTGTGATTACGGAACATAACATACTGTACAATACGCTCCCAAAACAACGTTTTCTATTGAAGTTTACAAACTATGCATAAAATGCTATTATTTGCTATACATTTACAGTTAACACAATAAGTTAAAAGTTAACAGTAAGTTAACGAATACAGTATTAAATCTCGTTTTGAATAATGTATTTAATTTTGAATTTAAATTGAATTAACATATCATTTAAAATATAATCAATTTAATCAATACATGAAATGATATTTAAAAAACAATAAATTTAATTCATATAAAAACTAAACAATTATGAGAACAGAGATAACAGACAATTCCCGAGAATTAATGGATGTGATATTTGTTGTAATGAAACACTCGATGCAATGGTTGTTAATCCGGGTATTTGTGGTCAACATTAGTGTAGATTTGTTTGAATTTTGTAATCTGTATGTAATGGAGAGGGGAATGGTATGGATTGGAGGGCCGGTCAACGCGGCTGTGATGTCTCCCCGACCGGAACTGATTCCCCTTCGGCGCCGAATATATGTCAGATCTGTTATGATTGAGGTGTGTCTCAGCCATTTCGGTCTACTGGCCATCAGTTTCTGTCCACTCGTATTCATACCGCCGTATTTGATAGCCTTTCACGTGGTTTACGGCAAAACAGCGGCCGATCTATTGATTCTGGACTACCGAACGATTGTCCGCGAGATAACACTCTTTCCCATACAATACACGATTCGGTGTCTCGTCTTAATTGTGTCCGCGTTTTGCAAACTCATTATCTTCTTCGCCATTCTCTGCCACTTCTGTATCGCTATTATCGACAAACAGTTTTGCCATTCAATCGTCCGATTATAACATTGTTTTCATAGTTTAGTTTATTTGAAGAGATATTTTAAATGTTAGTTAAATGTTAGTTAAATGTTACTTAAATTAATTTTATTAATTGATGTTTTATTTGTAATATTTTACTAAATAAATGATTAAATTTAAAAATGTAGTTATTTTTCATATTTAATCTTAATTTCATTTGATTTTTTTGTTTAATAATTATTTGTTCAACAATTTCAATTATTTGTTGATATTATTTATGAATTTATAACTAAATGTTAATTCGTTTCAATTTAACAATTTATTTGCTATAAATCTAATAAATAACAAATATTTTCAATTGAAAACAAAATAATAAACTAAATTCTTGATAACAATTAAAAGTACAGTACATTTGCATTGACTTACACTACTGTTAAACCAATTCAACAGAATTTCTGGTTTACAATAACTTATTGACAATAACATAAAAAACAAGTTATAGAATGTATTTCAAAATATTTAATGAGTGTATAATTAGTTGGTTTAAGATATAATGTTTTATATAATAATCAGATTCTAAATTCGCAAACAAATACAATAATAACTGATAAATTAATATACAAACACATCCGTATACTTTATACAGTGATCCAATAGCTCTAAACAAGCTTGATACTTTAATACCAATTGAGATTAGTAACTAGATGTGCGACCAAGCTGCTTTTACGTCAAAACAAATTACATATTAAGATATTATGTATATTTATGTACTATCAATAAAACTGTAGTTTAATTGGTAACCAATGATTGCGGATACGATTTCACGGTATATCCTATGGATTAAATGATATCTTAGATGCCATAAATGATTTGAGTTTACTATTAATTATTGTTTTTAAATAAATTAAAACTTTTACGATTAGAAATGGTTTTCTTGGAAATGAAACCATTTTCAGTGATAACTCAACAAAATAATAAATGACTTTGAAATCCACTTATAATTATTGCGATTATCATTGATTAACATTTAATGAATATAAAGTAAAATATTACTGTTATGTGCAACAAAAATCAATCAGATAAGTTTTGCTAACAAACTGCTTGTGCTTAAGTGTTCAAGGTAAGTAATCACCTATTATTACTTTATTTAATTATAATTGGATTATCTTATAATCACAAAATATATTGATAAAAAGTTTCAGGATTTGAATGACTATATATTCATAATGCCAAACAATACTCAAATCAATTTATAACACAATTTTGTTCAGTCTGTATGAGACTATAAATTATTATTAATTTATTGTATAATTTATTTATTTAGTTAAAAATATAACATAGTAGTTTTTCAAAATGTTTAGACAGGCATTTATTCTGTGCTCAATTCTGGTATGTTTTGGGCAAATAAATTGTGTATTGAATCCGAAAGTCATTTGTTATTATGAAGATTGGTGTAAGTATTCAATAAAATAACATATAGTATATCATTATTAATATTTAAAATAATCATAATTAATAAATCAATTTTAAATTCAATAGTCTATTGGCGTACCGGTGATGGTAAAATGACCGTCCACGATGTTGGTGAGTACACAATTTCACGCCAATTAAAGTAACCCTAATTTAATTAAATTAAAATTTTACAATTAATTACAGACAACACTCTGTGCACACATATGGTGTACGGCTATCAGGGTATCGATAGGGACAGTACTATCAAACTGGCCGACGAGTACCTCATGAAGACATTGCGTAAGTATTACCATATAATTCAACCAGAATTTCATACGAATTTTCGGCCAAAACTCGCAACTAATCCAATACTTACAGACGATTTGGACAACTTCTCGAAAAACAAGGGCAAAGGCCAGGCGTTGGTGGCCATCGGCGGTTGGTCACTGTCGGGCGGTTTCACCCAGGTGGTGTCCACCGACTCGGACATCCGTACGTTCACCAATAGTATTATGTCATTCCTGAGCACATATAACTTCGATGGAGTGATGTTGGACTGGACACCAAAGGGTGCGTTCACTTCCAGCGAAAACGACGGGTTCGTCAAACTGTTGAGCAGTATTCGCACCGCTTTCGGCGCCAAATACACACTCGGTATTACTGTCTCGCCGGTGGTCACCGGTCTCAGCGTTGATCGCGTCGATCAGTAAGTCTTACTATAACTCATACCCAAAATTAATACCGACTAATGTTAACACAATTATTGTCTGTTTTAAACGCACAGATATGTGGACATCATTGCCGTCCAGACATACGATATGCACGGCTCGTGGGAGAAACAGGTGGGCATCGGTGACCCGGCCACCTGGACCCTGGAGACTATGAGACAGTGGTATAAGGACGGTGCCAGCATGACCAAGCTTATTGTAAGTTATTATTTGGCACATATCATAAATTTTAGGAAACTTATGCTAAATTTGTATCATTAAACAAAATGAAGGCCACAATCCCGCTGTACGGCCACACCTGGATCCTCGCCGACCCCAACAAGTATGACATCGGAGCCGAGGCTACCGGACCCGGCAAACAGGGGCCGTGGAGTCAGCAAGATGGTAAATTGGGCTACAATGAGGTAATTTACTGTTCATAATAAAAATATATCTAAATTTAACGCAAAAACTTTATTAATGTATTGGTTTTGGTTGTATCGCAAACTCCAATAGTTCTGTATGGAAGTGAAGGCCGACCCGACCGGTTGGAAACAGTTCCGCGACGAGCGAGAGATGGCTGTGTATGCGGTGAACGGCCGCAACTGGATCTCCTACGAAGACGGCGTGTCTAACTCCAATAGTTCTGTATGGAAGTGAAGGCCGACCCGACCGGTTGGAAACAGTTCCGCGACGAGCGAGAGATGGCTGTGTATGCGGTGAACGGCCGCAACTGGATCTCCTACGAAGACGGCGTGTCGGCCGGCCTTAAGACGACCGCCATTACCAAAGAGGGCTTCGGCGGTGTTGTGGTTCAGGCGCTGGAGAACGACGACTTCAAGGGTCTGTGCGGCGAGAAGTACCCCGTCTTGAAGGCCATCAACAAAGCCCTAAACAAAGACCCAGTGGTGTCGCCGACACACCCGCCGCCCACCGCAGCGCCCACTCACGCGCCGCAGGTGTGCACTCACGAGGGGCTGATCCGCGACCCGAAGGACTGTCACTATTACCACAAATGTGTGGAAATGTTTCCGGGAATCTATAGCGACGATAAGCTCGCCTGCGATGGAGTGCTTGTCTTCGATGAGAAGGACGGCAAGTGTAAGGAAAGACAATTAGTTCCCGGATGTTAGACATGGATGGCCTGTCAGTGCCGGCGCTTTACTACTTGTTTAGTGTTTTGTAATGCATTTTAGTTGATTAAATTATGTATTGATTTTGTAATTTTATGCTCAAAATGTAATGTAAAATAAAAAAATGTTAGCATTTAAAATGTGTTTTAATGAAATGATCTGAACGTAAAATGTATTAATCTATTGATAAAAGCAATGAATAGTTTAAGAAATAAAGATATTTTCAAGTGTTGGTCATTGAAATAAATTTTATCAAAATATTTTCAACATTATAACAAAAACTAGTAAAACAATCATTAAATTAATTTCTTATCAAAACTATTAAATCAAAAAAAAAAACTTCGGATAATAAAAACTAATGATTAAAACAATGATTGAATCACAACATAAAAGTGATCACAATATGACTGGTCTTTGAATTTGAAATATATCTGAATTGATTTTAAATACAAATTAACTATTGTTAAAGTGAATGACAATTGACTATAATTTTACTCAAATTGTTTATAACCGCAAAACTCAATGCATTCAAAATAATAATGAAACTAAAAGTTTTAGTTTGAATATTGTTTGCGGTTAAGAGCGGTTCAGCCGTTAATTCAAAATTAGATCATTTATAGCATAAAAATTGGTATAATCTTAGTATAGGAAGTGATGGCAAACATTGATTACTATATGATATTAGGAGTGTTGAGGAATGCGAGTCAGCCGGACATCAGAAAGGCGTACAAACGACTGGTCCTTCGCTTTCATACCGATAAGATTGGACACAACAATAGGTCCAAAAACATTGACCACAAGTTTAAACTGATTCAAGAGATCTATCGGGTGCTCAACGATCGTCAACGACGACAAGTGTATGACAAAAGACATCCCAGTCATGGAAACTATCGCAACAGATATGTGGAGCACACGGTGTATGTGTCGCTCCGGGATGTGCTCCGGGGCTGCACTAAGCGTATGAAAGTGACCCGAAAGCTGTGGTATTCGGTCCGCGAGTTCGCAACCGAATCGGAAATACTGACGATTGTTGTGAAACGGGGCTCAAAGTCGGGCACTCGTATGGAGTTTGCCGGTCGTGGGAACCATCCCTACTATTCCTGTGCCGAAGACATCGTGTTTGTGCTGAAAGACAGGCCCGACAACCGGTTCCGACGCCACGGCAATGATATCGTATACACGGCGCGCATCCATTTGGTCGACGCCACCGTTGATCAGCCAATAGCTGTTCCGTTGCCGTCCGGTCGGACACTAGATGTGTCGCTGGATTGGCCCGACATTAACCGGTTGTTCAATCATCGCAAGTGTGTTATATTGAAAGTGGGTTTAGGACTTCCCGATGGCAATAATGCCGCCATTAAAGGAGATCTAATCATTGAATGTGTGATCAATTGATACCCAAATGGTTATTATCAATGATTATTGTGTCGCAAAGTTATGCTTTCATTATTTGTTTAATTAATAAAATTAGTTTTGATCCACAATTCAGGCAAAAAGTTTTTTGATGAAGTTTTATAAGTTTTACGCATTGAAAGCAATGATCAGACAATCCCTTCAATTCTCATATGTTTTCACATTTTGTTTACATTTTTTGCCACAAAATTGTTGTTTAGTTTTGGACTTAATTTGTATTTAAATTAATTGTGAATTAGTTTTAAATGTGATTTTGAATGCAATTATGGATTCAATGATTAGTAAAAAGTCATTAATTATTAGTATTAATGATATTTTGGATGAATTATTGGTTGAAAACAATAGACTTTTAAATGAGTTATTGTTTGGAAACAAATGTTTGAATGAATTGAAAACACATTTAATTAAAATTCACTCAAAATATGAAACACTTATCGATTCAGAAGACAATCAACACTTCCGGACATTATCTCAAACATTGGATCAATTGAATGACCAGAAGAGTACCACAAATGACAATCAAATAAGTCGCTCAGATATCAGTCATACCAACAGTGGATTTAATGATCTCAAGAGTCCATCAAATGATCAACAATTGAATGAACGAAGAGATGAAAGACAAGATATGACTGAAGACATGTTTGAAGACTCGGATGACAGCAATGGTTGCGATTTGAGGCCAAATATCAAAGAAGAACTCAACGATAATTCAGTGGAACCGATGAATGCAATGAAGAGTTTAATCAATACTAAACTGCAATCGCTTTTGAAAAAGAGTGTAATTTCACTGACATCTCAATCATCACAAGATCTGGTCTCCAAAGACATGAGTGGACAACAATTGATCCCAAGAAGTCATCAGAAAGTAATTCAAAAAACCATAAGTAAAGACCCGATGGATGTAATTAAAGCTAAACAACTGACATCTCAATCATCACCACAAGAGCTGATCTGCGATGAAATCATTGAAGATAGTAGTGAAGACTCGATGGAAGACTCGATGGAAGTAATGCTCGCAAAACAACAGTTAAAGAAATTAGATCTCAAAGATAGCGACGAAAGTATTGATTTGATTACAAATACATTCATTTGTCCCATAAATAAATGCCAACGAAGTTATCAAACTTTCCTTCAGTTTGATTACCACTTGAGATCAGTTCACAAAACAAGACTTACTTTAAGAAATAAAAGTAATAATAAAATCTTAAAACTAAACAAAGCATTAAAAATACACGTAAAGTCATCGACATCTCAATCAACATCACAACAGATGGTCAACGAAGAGATCATTGGAAACAGTAGTGAAGAGTCGATGCAAACAATTACTGTTAAACAAGAGTTGAGGCAATTATCTGAAAATTGCGGTAAAAATGTTCAAAATATTGTTTTGTCTAAAAAAGCATTTATTTGTCCCATAAATGAGTGCCAAAAGAGTTATAAAACTATACCTAAAAGATTCAAAAGTTATGAATTGGCTGTCAATGCATTCGTTTGTGCCAAAAATGAGTGCCACGAGAGTTATAAAACGGCTCAAGAACTTCGGGAACACTTTAACTCAGTTCACAGCCCAACATATATAGACATCCATAGAAACAGTGGCGTCGATGCGACCAATAAAACGACATCAAAACAATTGATCCCAAGAAGTCCTTCAAACAAAACTCACGGAATAATAAGTGAAGAATCGATGGAAAAAGTGAAAGCAAAACAACAGTTAAGAAAATTAGATGATATGAATAGAAATAGTAGTGAAAGCACTCATCCGTACAAATCTAAATGTCCGCTCAATTTTGCACAAAGACAGCAATGTTTTGAAGTGAGCACTAAATCATACATTTGTCCCATCAATGAGTGCCACAAGAGGTATGAATGGGATAATAAATTTTGTAATCACTTGAGAGCCACTCATAGCGACAAACAATATGTGTGTCCACACGAAGGCTGTGGTAAAGCATTTACGATAAACGGACGCTTAGCTCAACACTCATTAACTCACAGAACAATTAAATCGTTTAAATGTGATTATAATGGCTGTCAGTATCGATGCGTTAGTCAAAAGCATTTGGCGGCACATGTGATGAGACACTCGACAAGCAGTGTGTTTAGATGTGATGTCAACGGCTGTCAGAAGACATATAAGTCATCGTCTGGTATCCCTATCCACCGGCGGTCACACAGAACTGAACCAACGTTTAAGTGCTGTTTCGACGGCTGTAGCGAAATGTTTCACAAATTAAATGATAGGAACAAACATCAAGTGATGGTTCATAATCAGCGGCGGAAGTTAAAGGTGAAACGGAAGCGCCGGTGCCAATGGCCCGGATGTGATTGGATAGGACACGAGCTGCCCAAACACGAGCGCATACACACTGGTTTGAAGCCGTACGCCTGTGATTGGCCCGATTGTGGCAAACGGTTCCGCTACGGGAGTGGACTCAGAGAACACATGAATGTTCACAACAATATTAAGCCGTATGCGTGTCATTGGCCCGGATGTGAGTATAGGGCCGCTAATAGTGGTAATATTGTTAAGCATAGAAAACAAGTCCACAAAATGTAAACTTAATATTTATAGGAATTTTTAATTTAATAAAACAATTAGAAATGTCATAATTTTGTATAAATAATGTGTGAATACATGTATTAATACTAATTTATTAGTCCCAAATAAATTTCATTGACTTTTGCTTAAGATATTTGTGTCGAGAGCTGATCCCAAGAGCTTGTCTTTCATTTGAACGCCTTTTAGCTGTTATATTATATAATAAATTATAAAATATACTAAATTATAGTTCATTTGATTTGTAATCATTTGTCACATTTGTATCAAAGATTGTGTTTCACTTCATTTGATCCAAACTTCAGTTAAAAGTTATAACTTATAACTGTTATTGCATTGAAAGCAATGATCAGACAATCCCTTCACTTATCATATGTTTTGCCATTTGTTTACTTTTTTCCCACAAATTAATTGATTAGTTTTTGGACTTAATTTGTATTCAAATTAATTGTGAATTAGTTTTAAATGTGATTTTGAATACAATTATGGATTCAATGATTAGTATTAATGATATTTTGGATNTGTGATTTTGAATACAATTATGGATTCAATGATTAGTATTAATGATATTTTGGATGAATTAATGGTTGAAAACAAACGACTTTTAAATGAGTTATTGTTTTCTAACAAATGTTTGAATGAATTGAAAACACATTTAATTAAAATTCACTCAAAATATGAAACACTTATCGATTCAGAAGACAATCAACACTTCCGGACATTATCTCAAACATTGGATCAATTGAATGGTCAGAAGAGTACCACAAATGACAGTCATATCAACACTGGATCTAATGTTCGATTGAAGAGTCCATCAAATGATCAACAATTGGATCAATCAAGTGATGAAACACAAGACGTTTGTGAAGACATGTCTGAAGACTCGGATGACAGCAATGGTTGCGATTTGAGCCCAAATTTCAAAGAAGATCTAAAAGACAATTCAGTGGAACCGATGAATGCAATGAAGAGTTTAATCAATACTAAACTGCAATCACTTTTGAAAAAGAGTGTAATTTCGTCGACATCTCAGTCATCACCACAAGAACTGATCTGCAAAGACATGAGTGGAAAACAATTGATCCCAAGAAGTGGTCGAAAAGTAATTCATAAAACCAGAAGTAAAGATCCTATGGATGTAATTAAAGCTAAACAACAGTTAAAGAGATTATTTTGTGAAAGTATTGCTTTAAATACAAATGCTTTCAATTGTCCCGTAAATGAGTGCTACAAGAGTTTCAAAACTCATGATGAGTTACGCCGACACTTGGCATCAGTTCACAGGAAACGACTTATTTATGTAAATAAAAGTTGCGATCAAACTATTAACACAAATCAAGTCAATCACGAGTCCATACAAT